GGTTCAACACCACAGCAGTTGTTTACATATTATATAGAAAACATCTTGGTGTTAATATCTATAAACAGTGTGATTTGGGGGGTAATGGTTGTTTGGCTAGAGATAGAAGCTTGGGGAATTAGTAAAGGTGGTGATAAAGGGTGGGGTGTGTGGGGGAAGAGGTGTGGGGGCTGCTAGGTTTTATAGCTTTTGTGTATGTTTGGGTGTATTTCTGCTGTTGTAGTGGAGGATGCTTTTGTCAGGAATTGCAGAGGGCTGGGAATGTGTATGGTTGATACAGCAGGCTAGTCAGCAGGTGGTGAATGTTAGGAGGAGGGGTGTTGGAGAGAGTGGATGAGAAGGGGCAGAAAGAATAATTGGAGGAGAACAATGGATTATAGCACAAGAAAAGAAGAGAAAGTAAAGAGTAAGAATAGGGATAAGAAAATAGTAATGGTAAAGTTAATAATACAAAAAAAAAAAAAAACCAGGTACAGTATCAGAAAGTTCAGTCTGCTCTGCAAAAGTTCTGGACTTATTCTTTGGCATCCAATCCTGGTATTGGTGCTTCATATTCTGGGCTTTGTGGGGAAGGGTGCTGCCCCTCTGTCTGACAGCTTGTGGGGGAGATGGCTGGAGGGTTTTTTTGCTTTTAACTCTTTTTGTTAATTACAAGCTGAAGCTCTGAAGTGGTCTCACCAGATGACTAGCTTGTGAGCAGTACTTGGTTCCTTCTGTCCACAGGGCAGGTTGCACAGGTAACTCACTACCAGTTTATGAAGGTGATCCAATCTGTGTTTTTGCCAGGTGGCAGCTGCATTACCCTACCACAGCAACTGTCTGGTCAGCTCCTCCCCCAGCAAGGTGGAGCAATTCAGTTTTGAGTACCACCCTCAGTCCTAGAAGACTAGGTCAGCGATCTACCAGGGCCCCACGTTGGGAGGTTGGCTTGTCACCCCACCTCCGTTCTCAGTGCTAGTTCCTCATTCCATCTCTGCTTGCTGATAGTTGGCTCCTATGGGAGGTTGGCTTGTTGCCTCAGCCCCACCCCCCAGCCTTTGTTCCTTGTCCTTCTTTTGTTGGCTAAGAGTTCAGCTCTTTGCCCAACCCCTGTTCTCTGAGACTGGTTCAGCATTTCACCCCACCCTCACTAGATTACAATTCACTGTTCATGCTTTTCAGTTTTGCTGAGGGGGAATTCAATCTGCCCAGGGGCTGCACTGGATTACATTCTGGGGGTTGGGTAAGATGTGTAGGGTGTGTTGCTCACTTGTTGGGTCTGCAGATTTACACAGGCATCTTTGAAACTGGTTAGTGGGGAGAAATGGCATGCCACTTTTCGCAAGGCAGAGACTGGGACTGGGTTCAGCCTGGCAGGGCATAGGTAGGCTTTCCATGGATTAGGGTCCAGGATGTCACAGGGTTCAATTTTGTTTGATTCTCTATCTTCTGCTGTTTGAAAAAATAAGGGGAGAAACAGCCAGGGGTCTTTTTTCCCAGGGCAGACACACCGTATTGACTGCCTTGCTGGGATTTTTCCAGCTGTTAGGTGCAATTAAAAGCTGTTTTAAGGGTCGGTCCTTAAATTTTATGTGCACCTAATGTGTTGGCAGTTATTATTTTGGCTGGAAACAATCAGAATTACCCAAGTGTAGCTCCCACATCTTAAAGTGGTTTCTGGAGTCACAGAGCTCAGGAATTCTGATTCCCTACCATGTCCGCCATCTTGGATCTCCTTTGTGTGCTACAGTTGACCTTTGGTGAGATGTGGGATCCTGGGTTCAAAGTCATCTTCTTCCAGAATACTGAAGTGGGGTTTTTTTATTGTTTTTTGGGGCAGGGGCAGTACTGGTGTTTGAACTCAGGACCTCACACTTGTTAGGCAGTTGCTCTACCACTTGAGCCACTACAGCAGCCCTCTTTTATGTTGGGTTTTTTTTTTAGATAGGGTCTTGCAAACTTTTTGCCCTGGCTGGTTTCAAACTGCAATCCACCTGATCACTGCCTCCCAAGTAGCTAGGATTACAGGCATGGGCCACCAGCACTTGGCTTGGGGAATTTGTTTTAAAGTTATTCCAGTCTTTCCAGCTGGGCATGGTGGTGAGTCCGTGTAATCCTAGTGAATAGAGAGGCTTAGGCAAGAGGATTGGTTGAGCCCAGGAATTCAAGCCCCACCTGGACACCAATAGTGAGACCCTGCTCAATGGTTTTGTTTTGGTTTTGGTGTTGGTATTACCAGATCTGGGGTCCCATAGGTTCTTGGTCTTGTGGGAGAAAGAATTCAAGGGCTGACATAGAAGAGATTTAGTGAGGACAGGTTAGGTTTATTCAACAAAGGAAAGTGCACTAAAGATACGGAGTGGGTGGGCTTGAGCAAGTGACTGCACCTAGGAGTGTGTGGTGGGGTGGTTATTGGAGTCGGGCCTTGAGAGTCGCACATTCCTCCCTCACTTTAGATGGGGGGGGTTGACCTTTGATGGTCAAACTGGGGCTGTCATGGGTATGGGCAGATAGTGATTTTGTTTCCGTGCTAATCACCTGTTAATTAGCCCAAAGGCTGCAGCTGGCCCCCAGAATGTCCATTCTTATAAGTTTTGGCAAGTACTGAGTCTCCCAGTTGTGTGAAACAGGTGTAGGGCTTGGGATCTGGAGCTGGCATAACCTTGTTGCCACACTGCTGGATGGTCTGTTGAACCTATCCCAGATTTAATTACATGTTGTGCTGACTTGAGTTTCTGGATCTACCAATAAATTAAAGGTTAAAAACAGTCTCCCAAAAGTCATCTCAAAAGGCCTGAAAAGTAAGTTAGTTTTTGGAGGCAAACTCTTTTTTTTTTTTTTTTTTTTTGATGGGACTGGGGTTTGAACCTGGTGCTTCACACTTGCAAAGAAGGTGCTCTATGACTCTTTCCAGAACACTGGGATCTCCTTGAGTGCCTGGTCCATGGACTGAGTGACCCTAGGGGTGAAAACAAGCCCACTTTGGCTCTATAAAGTCTTAGGCAGGCCAAATCAAATGTTTTGCTACCTCCAGGACCTTTTCTGTATAAGCTGGAAAAGTCTCTATCCACCCAGTGAAAGTATCAGTAAAGACCAGCAAATACTGGTTACTAGGTGGTCAACATGGCTGCCAGCACTCTCCATTCTTTGCAGGCTTTGGGCCAGCAGGATGTAGCTCTAAGTCACAAGTTGTTCTGTTGACATTAACAATGTAGAATGTGGGGTTAGTGTCTCCAGGCTGTGTTCTCAGCCAGGAGTTTCCTAACTTGCCTATCACTAGGGGTATAGGGCCTCACACGTGCTAAGCAAGCACTCTACCACTGTTCCCAGTTCCCGTATCTTAAAAAAAATAGATAAGTAAGAAAGCAATAAAATAAATTGTTCCTCCCTTACCTTTCTGCAGTGCCTTTCAATCATGTATTTCCTAAAACTAGCCCCTTGTTTTCTTGCATTTTTCTCTCTTGTTGCCTACTTTATTGTCTTTTTGTTTTACTTCCTGGGTGATTTTCTTTAATTTTTAATTCCATCTATTCTGAAATGTTAATCTTGGCTCTCCTATGTTTTGTCAGACCTCTTTTCTTCTCTGTAAGTATTCACTTTTATTTTATCCACAGCATTTTTGTGGGTCTCGGATGGTAAACTTCTCTCTTGTCTCTACAAAAACATTTTTAATGTTTTTTTCTTCTGTTTCCTATGTCATCTCCTCTTTCTGAGTTTCTTTTTTTTCCTGGCTTTTCATTTGTTTGCTTTTCTCCATTTTTCATGTTAAAGACTTTTCCCCAAATGTGTGCTGACCCTCTTGTGTTCAATTAGCAGCTGTGGGTGTTCATGGAATGTGGTTGTTCAGGAGTACAACTTTGGGGTTTGTATTTTTTTTGGTGGTACTGTGATTTGAACTTATAGCATCACACTACTAGGTACGTGCTCTGCCACTTGAGCCACTCCTTCAGCCCTTTTTGGTTGTTTTGAGATAGGGTCTCTCAAACCATTTGCCTGGGCTGGCCTCAAACCATGATCCTCCTGATCTCTGCCTCCTGAGTAGATAGGATTATAGGTGTGAGCCACCAGCAGGGCTCGAATTTTTAGGATGCCAGTTTATACTTCATTCCCCTAAATGAAGCAGCCCTGCTCATTACGCCTAGCATTCCCTTGTTTGTGTTCTAGCTGATTGAATTCCTTAAGTAATGAATGTTGAATTTCCTAAAGTGAGAGATTGGGAATAAACAGCACTTACTCTTGGTCACTTGGGTGAGGGGGTGCTTGGGATCTAACCATGAGTAAATTAATCTTAGAGTTTCAGGGGTAACTGATAGGATAATGATCATAGGTTTAAAAATCTACATTTCATAATTTTGGGATTTATTGCTAAAGTATTGGGGTTTTTTTTTTTTTTTTTTGGTGGTATTGGGGTTTGAACTCAGGGCTTTGTACTTGATATGCAGGTGCTCAGCTGCCGGAGCCACGCCTCCAGCCCTTTTTGCTCTAGTTATTTTGGTGACCGGGTCTCACTTTTTGCCTCTCATTTTGGGCTTTCTGTTGCTGCCAGGAGAGCAGATGTACACCACCACACCTTTTGAACTTTTTTGCCTGGGCTGGCCTTCAATCTCTATCCTCCTGATCTCAGCCTACCAAGTGGCTAGGATTACACTTTTGATTCTTAATGGAGTTAGGTAAATTTGCAAGAGTTTACTACAGTTTTTTTTGTTTTTTGGTGGCACTGGGGTTTGAACTCAGAGCTTTATCCTTGCAAAACAGGTACTCTACCACTTGAACCATACCTCCAGTCCATTTTGCTCTGGTTGTTTTTGGAGATGGAATCTCTGGAAGTGTTTCCTTGAGCTGATCTCAAACTTTGATCCTCCTGATCTCAGCCTTCCAAGTAGCTAGTATTACAAGCATGTGCCTTAAGCATCCAGCTCAAGGGTTTACTACTTTTTTAAAGGGCTTACTACTTGACAGGTAAGTGCAAGTTGATAATATGGTATTATTCTATTATTCTCTTTGTTCTATGGTTTTTGCAGAGGACAGACTGCAAAGCTGTGATTAGCACTGTTGAAGGCAGCTCTTTAGACAGCAATGGATTTTCTCTCCACATTGGTTTGTCTGATGCCTATCTCCCAAGGATGTGGGTTGAAAAACATCCAGAAAAAGAAAGCGAGGTATAGTCCTTCTTACTTACAAGTAGAAGATACTGTTGGAAGAATATGCCAGAATAAATAGGCTATGTTTTAAATTTTGAATTACCAGTGGTCCTGAAAAACCAGCATTACAAAATGAATTCACACACTCCAAGATTCCACAACTAATTATGCTTAGCCTAACAAATTTCTGAGGTTTTATTCAAAACTTTCATGTGGTCTATTTCTGTATAAATATTGTGTTTGACCATTTTGTGTGTCCCTAACATAGAATTGCTTCTTCATTTACAATAAAAACTGAAGCTAATAGAATATTAGTTGTACTTTAAGTATTGGTTAATTAATAAAAGATCCACGTGTACATTTTAGTAATCACAAGAACATCTATACTCCTTTTAGAGAATATAGATGTGTGAGAGACACATATTATTTATTCATTTTACAAATAATGTGGATGCCCTCAGAGGATCTTTCAGATATTAATTCTAAATTAATTCTTGTCCTCTCAGGAATTTATTTCTCTATGTTGGAATCTCCACCTCTAACATTCTACTCTTTATTTGAACTCCTCAGAGGCCATTTTGTTGTTGAAGAAATCTTACTCTTTTTGTTTTTGTTTTGTTTTATAAAGGGTCTCTCTAGGTAGCCTAGTAGGCCTGGGGTTATCTACCTCTGTTTCCCTAAAGCTGGAATTACAGGCCTGTGCCATCACTCCTGGCTTCTTTGTGTCTTGATAGTTACTAGCAAGCTTTAGAATTTACAAGAAGTTTAAGTTGTAAGAAGCTCCAACATGCACCTTTTCCTCCTTTCAGGCTTGCATGCTTGTCTTCCAACCCAATCTTGACACCACCCTCCCAGGCCTAGGTGACAAGAATAAAGTGATTATTTGTCTCGATTGCTCCAGTTCCATGGAGGGTGAGACATTCACTGAAGCCAAGAAAATAGCTTTGTATGCACTGTACTTGGTGGGCAAGGAGCAAAAAGTAAACATTGTCCAGTTCGGCACAGGTGAGTATATTCTGTCCCCGGTTCCACTTATGCTTCTTCCTTAATGTTAGCATGCTTCGTGTAGACTGGTGATGGCTGGTGCCCAGCCTTGTTTGTGGAGTGGGAAGTGGAGTAGCGTGAAGCTTAAGCACAGGACTGTGGAGCCAGATCCCACTGTACCACTCACAAGCCCTGTGTGTCACCTGGGCACACTGCTTGAACTTTTGGAGCCTCAGTTCCTTATCTGAGGGTACTAGCCCCCACCTCAAAGTCTTATGAAGATTGAGCTTATATGTACAAAGGATTTTAAGCAGGGCTTATTCCATAGTAGCTGAGATACAAATATTACTGTTATTATTATCAACAAAACCAAGTATAAGAATCTTAGTCTGCTGAGTAGAAGGGTCCCAAGGGTATGGACAGACATTTGCAATCAGCCTCTGCCAGGGACCAAGCTGCCAGTGCCACTGCAGCCTTCCTGTACTGTGGTTTGCACAGATGATTCATAGATCTGTGTGTGGAATTTGACTCAAAACATTTTGCATAGTTCAGTGCCATAGTTTGCGCTGAATGAGCAGGTGGCAGTGGCTCATGCCTGCAATCCTAGCTATTCAGGAGGCAGAGATCGGGAGGATCACAGTTCGAAGCTGGCCCCAGGCAAATAGTTCTTTAAAATATCCAACATAAAACAGGGCTGGTGGACTGGCTCAAGTGGTAAAGCATCTTCCTAGCAAGCGTGAAGCCTGAATTCAAATTCCAGTGCTGCCAAGAAAATAAAGTGAATGCACAGGATGCATTTTTTAGAGGAATACTGTGGTGAGGTTTTATATAGTTAAAACAATTGTACAGTTTTCTGAAGAGGAAAGTATACACATAATATACAACATGTTCTTTCTTTTTTGTGTGTGTGGTACTGGGGCTTGAACTCAAGCCCTACACTTTGAGCCACTCCACCAGCCCTTTTTTTGTGATGGGTGTTTTCAAGATAGGCTCTCAAAAACTATTTGCCTGGCTGGCTTTGAACCATGATCCTCCTGATCTCTGCCTCCTGAGTCACTAGGATTACAGGTGTGAGCCACCGGCACCTGGCACAATGTTCTTTATGATAGCAGCAGTTGTAGAAAGTAGCATTATTGTTTGTTAGCTGTCACTGTCAATCTGGTGAATATTTAATGGCAACAGCTCACACCAATCTTATTACACAGGTTATAAAGAGTTATTTTCATATCCGAAGTACATCACGAACAAAAATGTGGCAACAGAGTTCATCATGGTGAGTAAAATGCCCTCCTCCATCTTCTGAGCCTCTGTGAAGCTTTAGTGCTGCTGTCCAAGACTTACTCCCCTGAGACTTCTGTATGATGGTGGATGTGTTAGTCAGCTTTCTGTCACTGTAACATGTGCCTCAGATCAATTAACTTAAAAGGAAGAAAGGTTTATTTTGCCTCACAGTTGCCGAGGTTTCAGTTCATGGTCACTTGGTTCTGTTGCTTTGGGCCTTTTGGTAACACAGTACACCATGTCAAGAGTGTGTGGAAGAGGAGGCCTGCTCACCTCATGGGCAGGAAGCAAAGAGAGATGGGAAGGGACCAGGGCCCAAGAAACACCCCCTTCAAGGGTACAATCTCAGCGACCTAGCTTCCTTCCCTGGGTCCCACCTCCTAAAGGTTCCACCATCTCCCAAAAGCACCAGAGAATGGAGACCAAGCATTTACTACATGGGGGAGGTTAGTTATCCAAACCACAGCAGTGGACTTCTACAATAATAAAATAAAAGTGATAAGAGCTCATTAAAGAAAATTGGATAAGCAAAGGAGTAAAAAGAGAAAAATTGCGCACAGTCCTACCACCCAATGTAACTAGCATTAACATTTGGAAAGTTTTCTTCTGTCCCTTGTTTTCTTTCTTGTCAAATGGAATAAGCTGAAAAGGTCCAGTTACCTCCTCAGACCAGGCCAGCAAACCCAGGGGTGCTTTAATAAAATGTTTCTTTGCATAAATGTAATAGTTCTTTGAAAACTATTTAAAAAAAAAGTGATAAATGCCCACTGATAATATTATAGTTACTGTGGATCATGATATGAACTAAAAGGATGTAAGAATAGTTGCTCCATAAATGTATAATTATGAAAAAACTTTCTGGCAACAGTATGTCTCTAAGCTCTCCTTGGGAGACGTCCTTCAGTCAATGATTACAGTCAATGGTGTACATGCCCAGAAAGGAGTAATGACCCTTCACTTCCTCTCCTGCAGTCTGCCACTCCCAGCATGGGGAACACGGACTTCTGGAAAACGCTCCGATATTTAAGTTTACTGAGCCCTTTGCAAGGGTTGCAGAACATTCTCCTCATATCCGATGGACACCTTCAGAATGAGAGTTTGACATTGCAACTCATGAAAAGAAATGTCCACCACACCAGGATGTTCACCTGTGGGGTCAGGTAGGTCTCTGGTCACCACAGTGAAAAAGCAGGTCTTTTGGTTGGCTTTCATGGGAGTTTTGTTTGGAAGTTGGTGGTAGTATGTAGAAGCTGTACATGGCAGAACTCCAAGCTCTGCGTCAGAGTGCATGGTCTCACAACCCCAGTGGGCTGCCCATTACCTGTGACCTTGGACACAGGTTATTTAACTCTTCTTTGTAAAATGAAGATAAAAATGAAGGACCAGGGCCATGGCTCAAGTGGCACAGCCCTTGCCTAGGAAATTCAAGACCCTGACCCAGTACTGCAGAAAACACAAAATAAAACAAAACACCAGAATTGTTTTGCACTGTCAACGTCCACATGCTGTGACAGGCAGAATGCCTAGGACGGAGCCCTCCTGGGATTTCTGTTTTGCCACCTGTTTTAGGGGGCATGGCTTAAGTGGTAGAGTGCTTCTGCCCTGAGTTCATTACTGCCAAAACAGTAAAAAGAAAAAGGAAAATATCTCCCTCATGGGATTTTTATTTTGCATATATCCATATGTCGGCCACCTGTGTGGTGCTCCCTCTGGCTGTCCTGGACTGGGCTAGGGCTGCCTGTGTTGCCTCACCCTCTCTTATCTCTCTGGATGCTGTGAGTGTCTGCATTTTCAACCACAGTGTGCATAGAATCTTTCCTGGTGTGCATAGAAGCTAAAGCCCCGAGGTTGTTGGCATTACTCCCTCCCCTGGTTATGGTTAGCTTTTTGTTTTTGTTTTTGTTTTTGTTTTTTTATTGTTTTATTATTCATATGTGCACACAAGGCTTGGGTCATTTTTCCCCCCTGCCTCTACCCCATGGTTAGCTTTTTGGATTATACTAAGGGAGAATATGTCTGTGCAAAGAAAACACAAGGCACAGAGGGACTCCTGGTGTTGACACACAGCCCTCAGCCCCGTGCCTGCCATTGAGGCCCCTGGATTCTTCCCGAATGCAGCCACCACCCCAGCAAGTGGCCTTTCCAGAGGCAGTGCATTGAGCAAACCCTCCCTGCACATTAAAAGCCCTTCATGTGGCAGGGGCCAGGGCACCACACACCTTCCACAGCCACCCCCATGACCCTGTCTGAGCCAAGGTGCCACCACCCCTCTCCTCACTGCTGTACCCAGGTCAGACCTGCTTGCCCTGGGCCTCTTTCTTCCCTCTGCCCCTCCTCAGTCACAGTTCCTGGTCCTGTTCACCGTAATCTGAGGCTAACCAAGCATCCTAGATCAACCAGGAAATCTGTCTAGCCAGTACGGGCTCCACCTGCTGATCACACAGCTGCACAGTTGTCCTGGTCATCCTGCCACCTGCTCCCCCAGGCTGATCAGGGCTCAGGCACCTCAGCACAGAGGCGCAGGCGCCAGCATGCCTTCCTCTTTAAGGCCCACGTGAGACAGGTGGTGGTCTCAGCTCCGGGAGGTGAAGAGGGCAGTCAGAGAGCCTCCTATGGGAGATGACAGTGGTGGTCAGCACCACCAGTCTGGGGGAGCTGGAATCGTTACTGTGAGGCCACCAGGATCTTCTTAAGTGTTTCTGCCTTATTTTCCATACACACTTGTGTGTTACATACTCTGGCAGCATGGTGTGAGGTCTCCTGTAGAGCCGGAGATTCCCACCTTCACCTTCTCACTGACTGGCAGAATCTGTAAAATACAAATAGACCCAACCTTAAGAATTCTCTAGGGCTGGCAGAGTGGCTCAAATGGTACAGCACCTGCCTAGCAAATATGAAGCCCTGAGTTCAAACCCCAGTGCCACAAAAAAAAAAAAAAAAAGAATTCTCTAGATGGGCCTTGGCAGGAGGTTCACTTGAGGCCAGGAGTTTGAGATGGAGGGAGGCAAGGAGGACGGAAGGAAGGAAGAAGGGAGGGAGGGAGAAAGGGAGGGAAGGAAGGAGGGAAGGATGGAAGAAAGACTTTCTCAATATCAACAGTCAACTAATTTTGAGGACTAAAGACATGTCTCCTCTTTATCAATAAGCTAAAAAATATTTCAGAAATAACTTCCTTAAACTCTTTTTCTGGAAAAATAAATAATTGATCATTTCTTTAATATTTCAGAGAAAAATTCTCTAAGAAAGGAGTTGAGTTTTTTTATTTAGTGGGGTGTTTTTGTTTTGAAGCAAGCTCTTAATCATACTAAACCAGGCTGGCCTTGAACTCATGATCCTCCTGCTTCAACCTCCTGAGTACTGGGGTTACAGATGTGCCAACACCACAACACTTGAATATCAAAACAAGATTTTCTTTTCTAGAGTGAGAGTTACTTTTCTTTTCTTTTTTTTTTTATTTTTGAAATGGGTCTTGTTATGTTGCCCAGACCAGCCTTGAACTCCGGGTTCAAGTGATTCTCCTGCCTCAGCCTCCTTAATAGCTGAGACTACGAGTATGCACCACCATGCCCAGCTGAAAGTTGTTTTTGTTTTGTCTTTTGAGACAGGGTCTTGCTATGTAGCCAGGTTGGCCTCAGAATCACAGTCCTCCTGTCTTAGCCTCAGTAGTGCATGCATCATTCCTACCCCCAGGCCTCCAGACCTTGAATTTTTTTTTTTTTTTTGTGATACCAGGGATGGAACCCAGGGCCTTTTGTATACCAGGCAAGTGCTATACCACTGAGATACACCCCAGCCCTGAAAGTTTCTTCTTTTTTTTTTTACAATGCTGTGGTTTGAACTCAGGTCCTACACTTTGAGCCACTTCACCAGCCCTATTTTTTATGATAGGGTCTCACAAACTATTTGCCTAAGCTGGCTGCAAACTGTGGTCCTCCTGATCCCTGCCTCCTGAATAGAGAGTTACAGGTGTGAGCTACTGGTGCCTGGCACTAAAAGTTATTTGTTTATAACTTTTGCTATCTACATGTATTCAGTTTTAGGATATACAGCTTATTAACTCTTTTTTAAGTTCATGCCCTGGGCTTTGGAATCAGAGTCAGATAATTTGACATTTATTGAAAGTAGCTTGATATCTTGATCAAGTATCATTCTGATAGCCTTCTGGCATTTTATTTGCTTTTTTGTTTTTAAATACTACACCATTAAATTTTATTTATTTATTCATTTGTTTTTTAGTGGTGCTGGGCATCAAACCCAGGGCTTCACTTGCCTAGAGTCCATTCTACCACTAAGCTACATTCTCTGCTCCCTTTTAGGGCCTTAGAATCACCAGTAAATTGGAAGTAAAGCATTTCCATTCTTTCTACTATGAAAGATAAATAAGTCCACATATTTGTGGACGCTTAAATTAAGCAAACCTTCAGATGTTTCCTACGGTTTGTCATCATTCTTTCTCTGTCTCTCTTTTATTTTATTTTTGGTGGTGCATGGGTTTGAACTCAGGGCTCCAAGCTTGCTGAGCAGGTACTCTACTGGTTGAGCAACACCTCCAGCCCTTGCTGCTCTGGTTATTTCTGAGATGGGATCTTGCTATCCTAGCCCACCTGACTTCATGCTCCTATTTTACACTTACTGCCTTAGTTGGGATGACAGGCATTCATCACCACATCCATGTTTTTCTATTGAGATGGGTCTCATGAACTGTTTTTGGGGGGAGGGGAGCCTGGAGCTGGTCTCTAATCACAATCCTCCCAATCTTAGCCTCCCAAGTAGCTAGGATTACAGTGTGAACCACTGCACCTGGCCCATTTTATCTCTTTAACCTCAGCTACAAAAGAGTAAATTCTTCTTCCTATAATATATCTTCTATTAGACTTTGAGCTTTCTCAACATTGTTAACATGTACTTTTCAAATATGTCTGAAATGTCTTGAAAATTAAAACATGTGAAATGTTATCAGTTCTACAGCAAATCGTCATATCTTAAGGACTTTGTCCCAGTATGGTGCCGGAGTGTTTGAATATTTTAACTCAAAATCCAAACATTGTTGGAAAAAACAGGTACTTTTTAAAAAAATATCTAATCTTTAGTCCTATGTTTACATGTGGAAATATTATCTTCTTAGAAGTCTCATGGTAACATCTGTGTTTTCATGAACAGACAGAGGTGATAAAGACAGGCAAAAGCTGCCAAGGGTGTGAGCCCCTGTGCTCAGGTAGCCCTTACTTAAACCTGCTAAGAACACAGTGATTGCTTAATCAGGTTATTCCCCTAACTAATGGTTTGATTTCTACTTACAAAGTATCAAAGTATCATAGATTGATTTTTTAAGTGAAGTGTTGTACAGTCAGCTCTCTGTGTCAATGGGTTCCGTATCCTTAGATTCAGCCAACCTTGGATGGAGAATAATCAAAAAGAAAGTTGCATCTATATTGAACATGCACTGAATGTTTTTTCTTGACATTATTCCTGAAACAATGCAGTATAACAACAAGTATTTGCATAGCATTTTCGTTGTAGTAGGCATTATTTGAGCAGTGACTTAAAGTCCATGGAAAGATATGTGTAGTTTTTGTACAAATACAGTTTACCACAGATACTGAAGGACAACTTCATGTTTTGCTGCAATTAATTTTTTTCAGTTTATTTATCTTTTTGTGGTACTGGGGCTTGAACTCAGGACCTCACACTTCCTAGCAGGTGCTCTGCTAGTTGCCACTCTGCCAACCCCTGGTTTGTTTGGTTTTTTTGAGACAGGGTCTCCATGTATAGCCCAAGCTAGTTTCCAGTGTGGGTATTCTGATCCTCCTGCCTCAGCCTCCAAGTACAGATGTGTGCAGCCACACCCAGGAATTTTTTATTGTGGCACAATACCATTTTATGTGTACAGGTCAGTGGCACTAAGTAGGTTCACGATGTAGTAGAACCATCGCCACCATCCATCATCATCCCAGATAGAAACTCTACCCCATCAAACAATATTCATTTGCGCACCAATGGAAATCCTTTGGCTGTTGTGAATGTTTCTGCCATGAGCAAGGGCATACAAGTGTCTGTTAACTCCCTACATTCAATTCTGGGTACCTACCCAGAAGTGGAATTGCTGGATCATATGATAATTGTTTCATTTTTTTAGAGTCTGTCATTCTGTCTTCCACAGCAGCTGCACCATTTCACACTCCCACCAGAGTTCAGTTTCTCTCATACTCATTTTTCCTTTTTTTTTTTTAAGAGCCATACTGGTGGGTACGAAGTTGCATGTCACTGTGGTTTGGATTTGCATTTTCCTCTAGGCTAGTAATATTGAGCACCTTTTCATTTATATTCTTTGGAGAAATGTATTCAATTCCTTTTGTAGGATTAATTTTTATAACTGAATCTTCTCTTACAAAGTTCCATAATTAATAATTAGCTAACAGAGTGATTTTAGGATTCTTTGTAAATCAAAATTATGTGATAGTGGTATTATTAAAGATTCCAGCCAGGTGTGGTGGTGCACATCTATAATCCCAGAACTCTAGACGCTAAAACATGAGGCCAGCTTGGGCTATTGTGAGTTTGAGACTAGGTGCATGGCAGGACCCTGTCTTAAAATATTATATATATATATATATAATTTAAAATCCCTTTGGAAAAGTACCACCAAGTAGCAGGAAGACGATAAAGAAAAAGAACTACAAAATTCCCAAGAGTCAGAATGTAAGCTCTACGTGTGAAGTAGCCATTTTTTAGATGCGGCCCTAAAGAAGTAATTCCTCTCTGGTTATAGATAGAAGACCAAATGAACAGGTTGCGGTCCCCTGGTTGCCACTCTGTTTCCATCAAGTGGCAGCAGATGGGCACGTGTGCTGCGGAGCCCCTCCAGGCGCCCGCCCGCGTGCGGTCCTTGTTCCACAATGATCGCCTCCTGGTCTACGGATTTGCTCCCCACTGCACCCAGGTAAGAAGATGCTCAACTTGTTACACTGAGGAAAGGACAATGTACTCCGCTGCTTCCTTCCTTTTCTTTTTTCTTCCCTGTGCCTCTTGCAGGCAGATTTTCCCCTTTGGGGAACACAGCTAGGAAAGCCTCTGACCTTCACTGAGAGGGGAGAGGACATCCCCAAAAGAATCGCTGTTGCGCTAACCGAGAGGCTGTGGAGTAGAAGAGCTGAGGCACTCATGTTTTCCCATTTCAGGCTACTCTATGTGCGTTAATCCAAGAGAAAGAATTTTCTACGATAGTGTCAACTACTGAGCTTCAGAAGACAACTGGGACTGTAAGATGCAACGCTCTGTGGAGCTGGGGCGTGGCTCCGTGGCGGGAGGGGCGTGGCTCCATGGGGTGAGGGCGTGGCCCAGTGGTGGGCTGGAATGTGGCTAGGCTAGGTGGTAGAGCTCTTGCCTAGCATGTATGAGGCTCTGGGTTCCATCCCAGCGCTACATAAAAAGAAAAAAGAAAAAAGAAAAAAACTTGAAGTGTGAACCGAAGACTTCGTTTATTGTTCTGTGCTGACACTTCAGCACTCCATGTGGAGGCTGATTAGCTGCACAATGGGTACACTCCCCTTCAGCAGGTCTTCATCTGGGATTCTTGGTCTAGAACCGTCCCTACAGGTGTCAGTAGGTGTGACTAACTGCAATTAAAAATGAAATTTTATGTGAACATTTTTATGGAGAGATTCTCAAAGATGTTCACAAGTCAATGTAAGTGAATTACCACTGTACCTTACACTACCTTAGTCAAAACAGTGCTGGACTAAGAGTGTACTACACCATGTATTGAGGATATGTTTTATACTCAAAACCCATCCAGGCTCCAGATGTGTGAGTTTTCCCCAGCCAACTAATTCTCCCACGCCAGCTGCATGCCCTTTAACTCGATTCAGTTCTGACACTATCTGTCCCACAGGGCAAGGGCACAGTCTGGGAACACTGTCCCATTCAGATGCCAGTCTCAGGTGGTAAGATCCTCAGTTTGTCCACACATCTGTCTAAGTTGAGTAGAAGGAGGAGGACCCCTTAATCCTTCCTCGGGTGGAGTAATTTGTTGTAATAGCTTACAGAACTCAAGAAAACAGTTGTGTTACTGATTTATTATGGTAAAAGACAAAATTATGACAATTTAAAGATTTGTTTTGACAATACTGGAATTTGAACTCAGGGCTTTATTCTTGCTAGGCAAACACTGTACTGCTTGAGCCATCACCATACCTTTTTTGGGATGGTTTTTTTTTGAGATAGGGTCTTATGAACTATTTGCTGCCTTCAAATTTCAATCCTCCTGATCCCTGTCTCCTGAGTAGCTAGGATTACAGGCGTGAACCACTGGTGACGCCTTAAGGATTTTTTAAAAAATATTTTTATTAGCATGTAATAGTTATACAGTGGGTGGGGTGGGGATACAGATGTTGGGGAGGATGTGGAGGAAAAGGAACCCTCGGTGGTATAAATTAGTACAACCACTATAGAAAACAGTATGGAGGCTTCTCAAAAAACTAAAAATATAACTGCCATATGATCCAACAATCCCACTCCTAGGGACATACCCAAAGGAATGTCAGTCAGGTTACAATAAAGGCAACTGCACACCCATGTTTATTGCAGCACTATTCACAATAGCCAAGCTATGAAAACAGCCAAGATGCCCCACTACTGATGAATGGATTAAGAAAATGTGATATTTATACACAATGGAGGCTTATTTAGCCATAAGGAAGAATGAAATCATGTGGTTTGAAAGTAAATGTATGCAGTCATGTTAAGTGAAGTAAGCCAAGCTCAGAAAGACAAAGGCCACATGTTTTCTCTTATATGTGAGAGACAGACACAATACAAATACAAGCAATATTACAAAGAAACAGGTTACACTAAGAGGAGATCACTTGTGGGAGAAGGAAGTTAAGAAAGTAAATATGGTTGATGTACTTCCTATACAAGAATGAATATAGAGCCAGGTGCTCATGCCTGTAATCCTAGCTTCTCAGGAGTCAGAGATCAGGAGGATTGAGGTTCAAAGCCAGCCTGGGCAAATAATTTACAAGACCCTAAAAAAAAGCCCATCACAATAACTGGTGGAGTGGCTCACAGTATAGGCCCTGAGTTCAAACCCCCCAGTACCACCAAAAAAAAAGCTTAAAACTTTAAAAAGAAAAAATAACTGATTGGTTTATATCAGGTTGCCTTTGTTCACTATTTTTTTTAAGGATTAAAGCAGGGAACTTCATTATGCTGATTGAAACTAGCCTATTTGGTAATTTGGCTGTTATCTCTTTTGGTTTCCTAGAAGGTCAGATAACAAGTCAGTTTCAGTTTGGTGATATAGGACTTTAGTGTGTCTCTTGGGGCCTAGTGGAAGCGCCTGAACCAAAAAAATGGACTCTTATAAAATTTATTTGACAGAATTTAAGGAACTCTCTATATTGCTTTAAAAATTGGATCTAAGGGTAAAATAAGGTAACAGAATTTTACTTGTGATTTCCTTAAAATCACAGTCTTTAATGATGGCCTTATCAATGATAAGAGAAGAGACACAGTCATTTAAGATCAATTCCATGTCTCCATAAGCATTCTAAGTCCTCTGTCCAGAGGCATGACCACATCTATGGGTGGGCATCCCAGCCCCAGGCTGGCTCTTCCTTCACTAAGAAGAGCAGTGTCAAAGTTTTGAAATAAATTGTATTGGCAAAATGGCCTTGTATAGAAAAGACGAAACACTAGGGATGAAAAAAACCAATGAGTGGTTGCCAGGGCAGGAGTGACTGCATAGGAGCCAAGGGGGCACATTTTAGGCTGAAGGGAATGTTCTATATTTTCATATCTGTGCTGACCATACAACTGTATATGTGCGATAAAACTTGTCAGACTTAAAAGGAGTGAATTTATTATATGTGAATTATTATGTTTCAATTTGAAGCAGTGGTCTAAATAAGCCTTCAGTGAGAAGCCATTTGAACCAATGTTCTTCCCTTGCTGCTTAAACAGATAATTCACAAGCTGGCAGCACAAGCTCTGATCAGAGACTACGAAAATGGCATTCTCCACGACGATGCAGTCAGCCATGAGGTTTGTTCTTTTGCCGGTAAAAAACACTACGTGTTGTTTAGATCATTCTTTAATTGTGTAGCCATGGACATGTGAGAACAGCTGGACAGAGGAGAATGTGGCATGGTGTCAGACCTTCATCCCTACCTGTGACATGGTCCCTGGGACATAGGTGACAGAGACTGTTTAGTAAGTGAATTAGTGAAAGAACCAGTGTCAGAGCTTTCCTGAGAATCTGGTGATGTCCTACCCATGAGAGAGTCTGGAGGAGGGCTCTGAGAACACTCACTACGTGCTGGTCTCCTGTGTTGTGTCACCATTCCCATAGGACAGGGTGGTGGGTAAGCTGCCTAAGGACCATAGGCAGAGCCAAGGCCTCCTTGCCCTCTCTGCTGTGCAGACGAGGGCTCTGGCAGAGGGTCACCACAACAGGTCCTTCATAGGCTACAATCTTCAGTGATGCTGGGAGTACCACCCCAGAAGGTGACAGTGTGCCACACACAGCAGCAAGTTGCAAAGGGAAAGCAGGGTTTCCCTGCTTTATTCCTTTTTTTTTGGGGGGGGGTGGGGGGGGTACCCTTGGATTAGCAGACTTTCTGTTCTATTTGACTTAAGGCCCTTTATCCCTGAAAGCAATCAACCAGCTCTGTCCTGAACAAGTCACTCAGCCCCTGCAACTCCTCAGCTTTGTAGGGGGAGCTACAGATTCTGTGAGAGAGGAGGTCACTGCCTGTGAGAGCTCTTTGTAAACCATGGAGAGCTGTATAAGTATGAACTACTATGACTTAGCCAAGCCCATTTTATGGGGAAGGTTGAGTCACCTACCCAAGACTTTTAGAATCAATTCCTAGTTTGAAATGCTAATTATAGAATGATTTACTTGTCATAGAAAAACACCTCTTTAGATTATTTACTACTCTTGTAGATAGCTAAATAGAAATAAAACATGTGGTTTCTTTGTTTTATTCTCTTCTAGATGAAGAAACAAGCCATGAAATCTCTGATTATTAAACTCAGTAAAGAAAACTCTCTTATAACACAATTTACAAGCTTTATAGCAGTTGAGCAAAGGGTATGTATTATCGTTAATTCAAAGTTGAACTCTTCTATTTTTATTTACACATTAAGAAAGTCATTCTTTAACTGGACAGTGGCGCACACCTGCAATCCCAGCAGACAGGAGGCTGAGGCAAGAGGATCACAAGTTCTAGGCCAGCCTGGGCTACATAGGGAGGATTGTATCTCAAAAAAAAGAAAGAAAATCCAAAAACCAAACAAAACTCAGGGCTTGTGAAAGGCAAGTAGGGAGAGCCCAGGGGACCTCCTGTCTGTGAATGGCCTCCTTGGGGCCAGGATTTACTATGATCTCTAAATTAGTTGCCATTCATGTATCAGTTTAATGTTATTAATTAGCTACATGTGTTGTTTGGGTTTTTTGTTTTGTTTTGTTTCACTTGACAGTACTGGTGGTTGATCTCAGGGTCTTACCCTTGCCAGGCAAGCAAGCTTCCACTTGAGCCACTCCATCAGCCTTTTTTGTGTTGGTTATTTTTGAGATAGGTCCTCCCTTTGGGCCTGGGCTGGCTTGGACCATGGTCCTCCTATTTGTCCTTCCCACGTAGCTGGGATGACAGGCTGTACCACCATATTCAGATGTTGGTTGAGATGGGGTCTTGCAAACTTCTGCCAGGGCTGGCCTCAAAACATGATCCTTTGGATCTCTGTCTCCCAAGAAGCTAGAATTACAGGCTTGAGCCACCACACCTGGCCTGTATGTGTAGTTTTAAGATATACACAGTTTAGGGCTGGGATACAGCTCAGTGGTACTTCCTTAGCACAAGGCCCTGGGTTTGATCCTCAACCCACAAAAAAATAAATGAATAAAAAATATGCTACAATTTTATTACATTTTTGGCATTTATCATCTTTTATTAATTCAAGATACTAAAAAAAAAATAGAAAAGACCTGGATCTCCCTTACCAATGAGAAGCCCTTTCCCATCATAATGTCATAGGAAAATCTGTGTGAAGCACTTTAGGAAGTACCCAGGGAGCACTCCCTGGAGAGAAAGGCCTCACCTTTCTCTCTGTGCCCACCCCAATCTTCCTCTTGCACTGGTGGCTAGGGACACACATCCAGTCTTATACATATATCTCAATCTCAGTATTCACGAGGCTTTAGAATGTATGAAAATCATTTCACTTGATACGTCTTTTTAAACTTCAACCCAATTGCAATTTAATATAGGATGGAAACAAGTCACCTTTTCCTGATGATCCAAATATCTCGGAACTTATTGCCAAAGAAGATGTAGACTTTCTGCCGTATATAAGTTGGCAGGAGACCAAAACAACAGAGGCCGACACAACACAGGTAAATGCTAATTGCCAGATGTAGTCATTTGTTGCTTAATCATGGGGATATGTTTGGAGAAAGGTGCTGTGAGGTGATTTTGTGGTTGTGTGGACATTCTAGAATGTGCTTACACAGACCAAGATGGTCTAGTTCAGTCACTGGATGTGTCGTCCATGCAATCAAGAGACAAGATAAACACGAGGTATATGAGCTTTTTAAATTCAATAAATAGAAGGAGTCTACTCTAAAATGATGATTAAAAAAGAGCCTGGGATGTAGCTCAGTGGTAGAGCTCTTGCCTACCTCACATGAGGCCCTGGGTTCCATCCCCAACACTGCAAATAAATCAACAAAATAAAATAAATGATAAAAATCATAGTATAGTAAACATAGAGTATACATAAACCAGTGACATAGTCATTTATTATCATTAAGTATTATCTCCTGTACATAGTATATGTACTGTACTTTCCTACAACTGGCAGCACAGTAGGTCTGTTGACAGCAGAATCACCACAGAACCATGAGTAACACCTTGCTTTATGACATCACAATGGCTACCACTTCACTAGGCAATAGGAATTCTTCAGCTCTGCTTCAATCTTATGACTTCACAATTGTACAGGGCCTCATGCATGCTAGGCAAGCACTCTACCACTGAGTTATATCCTGCTACTAATTCTTTCCTTCCTTCCTTCCTTCCTTCCTTCCTTCCTTCCTTCCTTCCTTCCTTCCTTCCTTCCTTCCTTCCTTCCTCCCTTCCTTCCTCCTTTCCTTCTTTTCTTCCTTCCTCCCTCCCCCTCCTTGCTGTATAGCTAAGGCTACCCTAGAACCCTTGATCCTCCTGCTTCAGCCTCCTGAGTGCTGAGATTATAGGCCTATGCTACCACAACACCCCATACCCTGCTGCCATTTGCATTTTAATGTTACTTTTTTTTGTGTGTGTGTGGTACTGGGCAAACTATTTGCCCAGGCTGACTAAGAACCTCGATCCTCCTGATCTCTGCCTCCTGAGTAGCTAGGATTATAGGTGTGAACCACCAGCACCTGGCAACTTATTGTTTTTATATCAAGTAGATTTTTTGGTGTTTGTGATCCTCTGGCCTCAACCTCCCAAGTCAATATATGTGGCCCATTTTTAATCTTTGGGTTTCTTGTTTCTTGTTTTAGTTTGGTGCTGTCCGGTTTTGTCATGTTTGGAAATCTCTTCCTGAACCTATCATTGTGGTACATGTTTATAATCCCAGCACTGGGGAGATTAGGCAGGAGAATCAAGAGTTAAAGCCTAGCCTGATCTACACAGTGAGTTTGAGGCTACCAAAAGCAATTTTTTTAAGTGTAAAATATTTTTAAAAGAGAAGAGAAATATTTTATATTTTTCCTATTTTTTCCCCTTTTTTTTTTCAGTACTGGGTGGTGTTTGACTCAGATCTACACCTTGAGCTACTCCACTAGCTCTTTTTCAAGATAGGGTCTTGCAAACTGTTTGCCTGGGCTGGCTTTGAACCTTGATCCTCTTGATCTCTGCCTCCTGAATAGCTAGGATTATAAGCGTAAGCCACCAGCGCCCGGCCCTTTATTTCTTTAGTTACATGCCTTCCTGTTTACATTAATTTTTATCCCATTGACATTATCCTGATATAAAATAAGAAGTTTAGTGCCAGTTTTATTCTTTTCCAAATAGTCACTCACTTTCCCCAGCAGCATTACTGACTCCTGCTCCTCCCATTGACTCATCATCTGCTGAGGTTCCACAGGTTTAGGAGCTGTTACTGCACCATCTACTCTTCTATATTCTAATTATTATAATTTTATAAAAGGCTGTGATACCTGATAGGTCATCACTATTGACCCTTTTTCAATATGGTGGTTTCTCTTCAAATCACATAAATCTTTTGCTATTGGTATATTTCAGTTTGCTTGTCATAAAATTTTTAGGGCTGGATACAGCTCCTTGGTTGGACACTTAGCCAGCATGCTTCAGGCCCTGGATTCCATCTGCAATGAAAAAAAAAAAGAACAGAAAAAGAAATAGAAAAAAAGACTTATTTTATTTCATTATTATTGTTATTATCTTTTATGGTTCTGGGGTTCAAAATCCAGGCCCTTCTACATGCTAGGCAAATGCTGTACTGCTGAATCACATCCCCAGCCCAAGCATTATTTTTAAATATGTTTTGACATATGTTTTGCAATATTAATTATTCAAATGTATACTTGAAACATGACTTAGTTGGGAAAAAAATACTCTGTTTTAAAAAAAGCTCATGACCAGGAACTAGAGAAAAGGGTAGATCGAAAAGAATTAACCTAGAAGGTAACACACACGCACAGGAAATCAATGTGAGTCAATGCCCTGTATAGCTATCCTTATCTCAACCAGCAAAAACCCTTGTCCCTTCCTGTTATTGCTTATACTCTCTCTACAACAAAATTAGAAATAAGGACAAAATAGTTTCTGCTGGGTATTGAGGGGGTTGGGGGGGAGAGGGAGGGGGCGGAGTGGGTGATAAGGGAGGGGGTGGGGGCAGGGGGGAGAAATGACCCAAGCCTTGTATGCACATATGAATAATAATAAAAATAAATAAATAATAAATAAATAAATAAAGCTCATATACGAGAATAAAATTAGAGGTTATTTCCAAAGTATCTTGAGAACTTTTCATCCACAGAACTGGATTTAGTTACCTATTCTTTTTAAGGAACAGTAGATTGAAATAATTGGAGTAATGTAGCTTTCCTTATCGCATTTTGTTTTACGTATTGTTCATACTCTGGTATAAAGATATATTAATTACTTGTAAGGTTTTAAAATTTTTTTAGTATCACTGGAGAGCAGTATAAAAGACTGTATTGCCTACCTCAGTTTGATCCTCAACACTATGGGGGGGCAAGTAATTTATTTTGAATGATTAGCTTATTTTAGGGGCTAATTTACACACTTTGATACTTCTTATTGTAAAATTTTGGGCAACTTGCTCCCATGGTACTGAACACCTTTTTTTCTCTTTTCCTCTTCTTCTTCTTCTTCTTTCTTCTTTCTTCTTCTTCTTCTTCTTCTTCTTCTTCTTCTTCTTCTTCTTCTTCTTCTTCCTCTTCCTCTTCCTCTTCCTCTTCCTCTTCCTCTTCCTCTTCCTCTTCCTCTTCCTCTTCCTCTTCCTCCTCCTCCTCCTCCTCCTCCTCCTCCTCCTCCTCCTCCTCCTTCTTCTTCTTCTTCCTTCTCCTCCTCCTCCTCCTCCTCCTCCTCCTCCTCTTCTTCTTCCTTCTCCTCCTCCTCCTCCTCCTCCTCCTCCTCCTCTTCTTCTTCTTCTCTCTCTCTCTCTCCCTCTCTCTCTCCTCTCTCTCTCTCTCTCTCTCTCTCTCTCTCCTCTCTCTCTCTCTCTCTCTCTCTCTCCTCTCTCTCTCTCTCTCCTCTCTCTCTCTCTCTCTCTCCCTCTCTCTCAGCAGTAACCAGGGTTTGAACTGAACTTAGGGCCCAGTGCTTGCTAGGCGGGGGCTCTGTCACTTGAACCAGGCCCCCAGCCCTCAGGTATCATCCTGAGGCAGGATAGATTACGGATACAGAAACAGAAGCCAGGAATCAGAAATAAACACTGCATTAATGTCGAACCCAATCAGAAGTGCACAAACACCATATTCTTTTCTTTAAACTCCACACTCCTTCACTGAGCAATGAGGAGCAGTGAAAAAGACGACCTTCCTCCCCTTTGTGTTTGTTTCAATGGTAATTATGCCCTGGCACACAGAGACACCTTCAAGAAAACTGCCCTGACCTCTCCCCTCCTTTGATCTGAAGGGTGATCATTAAAAGTCACAAGAAGCAGGACTGATATTGCAAAGAACTGACTATCTTCTCAGACTTAATGTCTCCAGGTAGAGCTGATACCCAGAACACTACTGTAACAGCAGTTTGGAATGGACAAAAGGGGGCCACTTATCCCAAGAACCCCGCCCCACACCCACACAATGTTTCTAATACTAATAACCCCTGCTAACCCAGCTCATTTGTGTCCTACCTTGCCTCCCAGGCACCTCTTGTCATGTTTTCTTTGTTTGCTGAATAAATCTGTTAGTTTAGTGCTGGCTTTTTCTTGCCTGCAATTCTTAGAGCTGAAGGGCTGAGTTAAGAACCTGCCTTTTTTCTTCTTCTCAGGGGACCTCTTAAGGCCCTCATCAGTCTCCAGTGACATCTGCTAGTGTTGGTAATCCTCATTCTGGGATGAATGTTTGCTGTTTGTTTTGTTCTGTGTTTTCTCCTCACATACAATTTTCCTTTCTGGGCAGCATCTGTCAGTGTCCTCCGAGTGGAGTGCAGAACTGCAGCATAAACGTTGGGCGAAGAAAAAACTGAAGTTATGTGAGCTGGAAGTGTCAGAAGATTGTGAAGATGAAATGAAGGTCTGTGACCTGGAAGGGTTGGACGATTTTGAAGATGAAATGAAGTTACGTGAGCTGGAAGTATCCGAAGATTGTGTAGCTGAAAGCTTAGGTTCAAGACCAGAAGAAGAGCTGTTCCCATTGAGTTTCCAATGCAGTGATGTGGAAACGCCCTTGAACTTAAGCTGGACAGATTCATTGAAACAAGTGGTACCTAAAAGATGGTTAGGGAGAGTCAGGTCACAAAATGTCCATCTTTCTCTCTCTCCTTTTGGGTGTACAGCCCCGGGGTCCCCCATTTCCCTGTCTGCTCCCTGCCCTCCTCCTCTCCCTTCCCTTGCTGCTTCCCCCACTCATCGCCCTCCTCCCCTGGCTGCTGGCCTCCCTCCTCCATCCCCTTTCCTGGCTACTCCCCCAACTCATCCCGTCCTTCCTCTTCCTCCGCCCTCCTTACCTGGTGGCTCCTTCCTTCCTCCCCTCCCTTTACCTGGAAGTCTTCTTCCTTCCCCACCTCCGCTCCCCTTACTTGGTGGCTCCTTCTCTCCTCCCCTCCCTTTACCTGGCAGTCCTCTCCTTCCTCCCCCACCTCCCTTGGGTGCTGGCCTCCCTCCTCCATCCCCTTTCCTGGCTGCTCCCCCCACTCATCCCATCCCTCCCCCGCCCCCCTTACCTGGTGGCTCCTTCTCTCCTCCCCTCCCTTTACCTGGCAGTCCTCTCCTTCCTCCCCCACCTCCTCGGGCTGCTGGCCTCCCTCCTCCCCCAACTTTCCTGCTTGCTGGACGCCCTCCTACCCCCACTTCCTCCCCTTCTTCCCCTGCACCTCCTCAGCACTCCCTTTTTAGTTCTCTTGCTCCTGCCACGCAGTTGGGCCAACCCAAGTGTGGTCAAGGCCTTAGACCTGACCGTGGCACCAGCATTTCACTTGAGTCTCCTCCCAGACTGCCTTTCCTGGCCCTACCCGTTGGGTCTGCACAGGCTCCTATTCTTTCAGATGGCTTGTTTAGCTCACAGCAGTTTGATCTGGGTAAAACTTATCAAGGCCCTAGGATCACCCTCTTTCCTGGCTTGGGGCCTAAGCTGGGTTCTCCTCGTCAGCCAGCTTCTTTCTGTCCTCCCAGACTTCCTCCTCCTTCTGGCCTCACCACAGGTTTTGGTACTCAGAGTTCCTGCAATGCCTCTTCTTTTAATGATCAAAATGTTACCAGTTCCATGCTGACAAGGGATCTGCCTGAGCAGTTGTCTTCCCTATCAAGCAGGTCACCCAGACCTGCACTTTTTGGGTCTGCCCAAAATCTTTCTGTCATCCCAGGTCATAAAGCTTATTTTAAAACAGAAAGTGACACAACGCCAGCAGTACATCTGCGACATAGGTTTTTAAAAGCAGTAGCAAAGTCTGGTGTGACAAGGGACTTTTCCTCGGATTTCCATTCACAAAAAGATGAGGGTGGCACGATCTGCCAACGGAACTGGCAGGATATTGTGCCATGGACTGCACTCTTCAGTCTGCAAACTGAGGTATGTGTCTTCTGTCCGTCTACATTGAGAACAGGCTGCTTGTTACCAGCCTGTAGTGATGTGAGGGCTGGCACCTGTGTGGAAGAAAATCTCCTTAAAACAAGTCCACAGACTGAGACAGTATGCTTGGTGACAAATGGTGTTTGTCATTACCTGTTAGGCCAGAAGCTCATGTTGAAAAATAGCATCCCTGAAGAAGTTTTAGGTAAGACTTTAATGTCCTAGGGTCTGTAGAAATTTTCTATCATGAGTTCAAATCCCAGTCCCACCAGAAAAAAAAGAAAGAAATTTCTATCATGAAGTAAGCACAGTGCTTTGAGCACCGTGAATGTTTTCCCATACGGTCTCGGGAACATAGATCGTATTCAACACGTAATATCGTGGCAGAGCATAGCGCTATTAAGATAGAAAACACCCTGTACATTTAGCTCCTGCCCTGGTCCAATCTCACACCCGCAATTGTTTTGATGGGATGTGATTTGGTAAAGTCGGAAGGAATTAGTGGAGTAAGTGTGAGTCCCATCCCTAACACTTTGTGATTTGGGGTAATCCCAGTTCCCCATCCCAGTGATGGGTAAGAATGGCATGTGCGCATGCGTGGTCTTGAGGCTTGAATGGGTGAAGCCGCTGCCCCTCCGCCCTCGCTCCATGCACACTGCGGCCATCGGTTGCAGTGCGGCCAGTGGTTGTCCAGGGGCGGGCCTGGTGGCCAGTCTCGGCTTTGCTGCATGTCAGCTATGTGACTTTGGACAAGTTGTTAAGTTTTGGGGGCCTCAGTGTCCTCGACTGCAATGTGGATATTATAATAGACTTCCACAAGAAGCAGCTAGAAAGAAAAAGACCAGCTCCTAGTACTGGTTCTCTACGGGTTTGCACATACCAACACTGCGGGCTTTTTTCAAGTTGCCATAGACACTTTAGGCTGTCTACATGCCCGTGACAGCACCCCCTTTCTCTTGTCTGCATTAGCTTTCCTGGGGCCTGGACCTCTGTCCCTGTAGCTTAGGATCCCCACGCTTAGATTTGCCACACTCTCCTATCCATGTGATGAGGTGGGTGGGGGACAAAATTTTTTTTTTTTTTGAGACAAGGTCTTACTGTGTATCCCATAATGGCTTTGTGCTCGCAGAGCCAGCACCCTATCTCTTGAGCCACTCCTCCACTCTGTTTTGCTCTGGTTATTTTGGAGATGGGGGTCTTATGAACTGTTTGCCTGTACTGGCCTTGAAATGTTATCTTCCCAGTCTTAGCCTCCCAAGTAGCTAGGATTACAGGTTCAAGTCACCGGCGCTTGCCTTAGGAAAGTAGTTTTAAAGAGCATCTTCAATATGACAATTTTATATTTAGATAAAACTGTTTCAGACCAGATAAGGTGCAATATAAATCCTGTGACTAAATGCTGTATTGTTTTTTTGGTGCATAGGACTATATTGAAAGATATCCACATGTGGGACTCATTCCAGACTTTTAATGGCACCATATTCTTAGTGTCCATAGTATTTATGAAATTTCAAAAACACTGTGTCACTAGTCTGTGAAGAGCTTTGATTTTATAGTAATAAAAATTTCAGAAATCTAATGACCTGAATGGAAACTTATTTTACGTATCACATAACCTCTTATGTGATGGAATTCCCATAATATGACTTATATTTGTTTTCTTCATTTCATAGGATGGTTTCTGGAAACTCACACCAGAACTAGGACTCACGTTAAAGCTTAATACAAATGTTTTATACAACTTTCTTGAAGAAAAAGGCATTCAATCTCTAGGTAAGTCAATTGTTGTCAGTTCATTAAATTGCAATTTTCATTCATTTTTCCATTCATTCATAGGCATGGTCCTAATTTTAATAAATTATTTTGTAGGCTAGTTTATTTGTATAATAATTACTACAGTTTTGTATGACTGGAATGATATTTGTTAAACACTGAAGGAACTAATTAGGGTATTTTCTGTGCAGATTTGTCAGTGTATCTAGCACTACTGTAGAAAAACAAACCGAAAAACCTTAGCGTGACAGTCAGAGATTACCTTCTTCTCCATATCACAGACATTATTGGTCATCAGGGCAGTTCCGATCCATATAGCCATTTAGAGATCCTGACACCTTCAACATTGTGGCCCTTCTACCCTCAATATGTGACTTTAAAATTAACCTAGTGGGACAGGGGAGCTCATACTTAGCCTGCTCAATGTCCTGGATTCAATCCCCAGCACCAAAAAATCAGTCAACAATCAATAAAAATCTAAAAAGTAACCTAGTGAAAAGGAAGAAAGAAAGACTACCCTGGCATTTATCCACCTGGTGGACAGGAGGAAGAGAGAGGAAGTGTGGCAACAGCTAGTGATAACTCCACTCTAGTAAGGGGGAATAGGGAAATGTGATTTTGAGCTTTGTGCCAGGCTAACTAGCTTTAATGAGGATCTAGTCAGTCTCTGCCAGATCCAGTTGTTCAACCTCTGGAGCTCTTTCTTATTATGGCAATGAACAAGACAGATGAAGAGGTCCAGCATCCTTGAATCAGCAAGTGGTTTAAAGGTTAAATGCTACCCCTGGGATAAGAAGGGGGGGTTGTTGCTTTTTTGTTTGTTATTGTTTTTTGATGGGGTATCCCTATATTACACAGGCTGGTCTCAAACTCCTGACTCAAGCAGTTCTCCTGCCTCAGACTTCTGAGTTGCTGGGGTATGCTACTGCACCCAGCTAGAAATTTACAAGTTTTTAATTCTACTTTACTTTTTTGAAGTACTAGGAATTGAACCCAGAGTCTCACAACTTAGTAAGCACATGGTCACTGATCTAATGTTTCTAACCCCTTTTTACTTTATTTTGAGAAGTTGACCATGGTGGCCTTGAACTTTCCATCCTCCTGCCTTAAATCCCGAATAGCTAAAATGACAGGCATATACCAGGTGTACGCTAGTTGCTAGAAATTTCTTTTTCAAGAAACTAAGCATTAATCTACAAGCCATCAGTTTCCGTGGATATAGCAAATGGTTGTGTCTAACTACCCACCACCACCGAAATACCAGGCTTTTCATATTTTGGGCTGGGCAGATTGGCAGGTGTATCACCTGTTTGTCTCCCTGCAGACAAATGATGGAGGAGCTTTTACCAGAAAATGATGGTTATTAACTCTTGATAAAATGTCTTAAAACCACTCCTGAAGGCCCTAGGAACAATCAGAAATGAATGGGCACTATCTGTAGTCATTGGATAGGCTTACCAGAAGACTGGGCCATTTAACTCAAATTAGAATAATAAGATGTACTCAATAAAAATGGTCTAAACTGGAGGTGTGGCTCAAGTGCTGGAGCACCTGCCTAGCAAATGCAAGGTCCTGAGCTCAACCCTCAATACCACCACCACCAAAAAAAAATCCAAACTGCAGGATAGAAAGAATAAAAATTAGAATGAAAAAAAGGAGAGCACATTTAAGGTGATCCACATAGGTTTAGCATTTATGTCATTGTGTAATTGGGGTCCCAGATGGTGGAAGGGTAAAATATTTGAAAAAATACTGACTGATTTTTTTCTAAAATTAATGAAAGACATCGACTTACACATCCAAAAAAAAAAAAAAAAAAACTGAGCAGAAAGCAATGTAGGATAAATACAAAATGACCACATTTAGACAGACCAGAGCCAAACTGCTGAAAACCAAAGATAAATTTTTTTGAGACAGGGTCTCACCTATGTAACCCATAAGGGCGTCATGCTTGCAAAGCAGGTACTCTACTGCTTGAGCCACACCTCCAGTCCCACTTATTCTATTTTATGGAATGAAGTGTTTCCTGATTCTAAAATTAAAAAACAATAAATCCAATTAAGATTTTTAAACTTAAGAAAAGAGAGAAGGAAACAAAGCCTGGAATGATGATACAGGCCTCTCCAATACTTGGGAGGCAGAGGCAAGAGTTCAAGGTCATCCTGTGCTTCATAGCAAGAAAGGAGGAAGAGAAGGAGGAGGAGTAGAGGAGGAAGGAGCTCAGGGTGTGACTCTGGTAGAGTGAATGGTTGAAATGCTTGGTGTCCTAGGATCAGCCTACAACCACTAAAAAATAAATTTAAAAGGAAAATAATAAAAGCTGATATAAGGTCAAAATACAAAAACCAATTGTAATTTTATATAGTAGCCATGAATAATTGGAAAGTGCAATTTTAAAATATCAATTACATTGACATTAAAAACATTAAATATTTAGCAATAAATTTAAAGGAAGATATGCTTGGTTTCCCAAGTGAAAACCACAAAACATTATTGTGAGAACTGTTAAAGGATTGAAATAAATTAGAACTTGTCCAAAAAAAAAAAAAAAAGCCTACAATGGATATTGATAGACAGTCAGACAAACAGAACAGAGCAGAACATCCAGAAAGGAACCTATACTTTTATTCCATTGGTTTTCTACAAAGACCTCAATGAAATTAAGGAAAGGAAAGGCTTTTCATAATTGATATTATAACAATTAGATTTTAACATGGAAGAAAAATGAGCCTCAATCCTTCTTAACACCATATTCAAAAATTAATTCAAATCCCCAGCACTGCAAAAAAAATAATAATAATTTGAGATCGAGTATATAGCTCCGTGGCAGAGCACTTGCCTAGTATGCTCCAGGCCTTAGGTTTGATTGATCCCCAGCACTGAAAAAAAAAAGAAGGAAAAGGAAGGAAGGAGGAAAAGAAGTACTAACAGTTATGTTTCAGACAGTTAAAATTTGAGCTGCCTATTAGACATTCATAGAAATACATAGTTTGCTACAGGAGGCCAGAGAAGTCAGGATTGAAGGACTTCCAGGGAACCCTCAGTATGTCAGTAGTAATTAAAACCAGGGCTCTACATGAGATCATGCAAAGAAAGAGGGTAACCAGAGCAGAAAAGGCAGCGTGAGGACCATGCTTTAGGGTCACCAGGATTCAGGATCAAACAGAACAGGAAACACAGGCTAAGAAGGAAAGGCTAGAGAATTAAGAAGAAAACTAAGAAAAGGGAGAAGAGTCACAGGCACGAAGCGATAAGATTTCTTTTTCTTTTTTTGACACTACTGGGTTTGCTCTCAGAGCCGTTCACTTGTTAGGCAGGAACTCTACCATTGAGCCCCGGCCCCCGTCATTTTGGCTTTAGTTATTATTCAGATATGGTCTTGCTTTTGCCCAGGGCCAGTCTGGACCACAATCATCTAACTGTGGCCTTCTGCGTAGCTGGGATGACAGGCGCCCCTGCCACCAGGCCCAACTTATTTGTTGACATGGGGTCTCCCTAACTTTTTGTTCTCCCAAACTTGAACCACAATCCTGATCTCTGCCTCCTGGTAGCTGGTATTACAGACAAGAGTCACCATGCCCTGATTTTTTTTTTTTTTTGGTGGTACTAGGGCTTGAACTCAGGGCCTGTGCTTGCTACAACTTGAGTCATGCCCTCAGTCATTTGGCCTTTATTTTGGGTTTCATATAAGGTCTTGCACTTTTGTCCTTGCCAACCTCAGACTGCAATCCTCTTGCCTCCTGAGGAGCCATGCCACAGGCAAATCCCAACATGCCCCACTTGTTTCTGAGATAGGGACTCACTAACTTTTTGCTCAGGCAGGCCTCAAACAGTGATCCTCCTGTCTCCATCTCCTGAGTAGCTGGGATTATAGACATGCACTACAATGTCTGCCCTTTGTTTTTGTTTTTTGGGTTTGTTTGGTTTTTTTTTGGTGTACTAGGGGTTTTGAACTCAGGCCTTGTGCTTACTAGGCAAGCACTCTACTGCTTGATCCATGTCCTCTGCCCTTTTTGCTTTAGTTATGATTTTCATATCACCTAATAGCCCAATCGATTCTGCCTACTGATCTGCAGCCCAATCTAGAGCTGCCTGCCTTTCTTAGGTCTTGTGGCACCTTGAGGCCAGTCCCTGTGCACTGGATGGGTTGTTCAGATCAGCTGAGTATTTATTCATGCGTGGGCCAGTGCACACGGGAAGAGAGATAGCATTTCGGCCCATCTTCGAGTTATTGGCACGAGCTTTAGGTTTAAATAGAGAAAGCTAAGTCAGTGCTTTTAACAAAAGCAATTTCTGAGCACCCATCATATTACCACAAATCTATTTTTGGAGATCGTAGTTGGCTTTGTGATTCTAGAATAGGGCCTGGGTCTGGACCAAAAATGATTCAGAACTATAATCTGGGTAGATTATATTTCTACCCAGAGAAAAGGAAGTGACATACAGAAAAGTGAGATGGAAACAGCCCCACTGGTTAAAGCTTGTCTGTCTTACTTGAACATGGTTTGAGCAGTTAGTCATGGGTGATTGGCTGAATGCACTACTTGTTGCAAGAGTGAGTTGCTGTCTTTAACACATAGTTAGGTTACAGTTTACTGCGCACAGAGAAATCTTTAGGTCAGACTTAAAAAATATGTACAGAGGAACTTTATACCAAATTTAACACTTTGTTTCGCCCCCCGCCCCCAGTCCTGGGAATCAAACCCAGAGCCTCAAGCATGCTAGGCAAGCACTCTGCCACAAAATTGTACCCCCAGCCCCAGCATTTGGATTTTTTCAGTTCGGGGGATTCATCTCTTGGCCTTATGCACACTAATCAGGCCTCAACTGCTAGGCTTCAGCCCCAGCCCAATAAATTTTTTTTTCTTTTTTTGTGACAGGGTCTCAGGGTTGGGGATGTGGCTCAAGTGGTAGAGTGCTCGTCTAGCAAACACAAGGCCCCAAATTCAAACCCCAGTACTAGAGGCAGGGGAAGGGGGAGTGGGAGGGAGAGAGAAAGAGAAAGGAAGGAAAGAAAAAGACAAGGAAAGAAGGGAGAGAGGTTGGGAGGGGTATCACTCTGACCTTAAACTCAAGATCCTCCTGCCTCGCCTTCTGAGTGCTGAGATTACAGGTGTAAGCCACCACACCTGACATTAGCATAACGGTTTAATGGAACTTTTATACATGAGCTTTTTGTTTTTAGGTACAAAAGGAAGAGAATGTCTCCTGGACCTGATTGCTACATTGCTAGTGCTACAATTTATCCGCACCCGGTTGGAACGACAGGGGGTAGTCTTCAAGTCACTGATGAAGATGGAGGACTCTTCCATTTCCAGGTGGCTGTAGTATTTTAATAAGCAGCTCACTGGTATTTTCAGCCATTTCCACATAAACCTTACAAGCAGCTACATGGAATTCTCTTACATGTATATACTACATGTCAGTGCAAAAAGAATTTGTTCACAGGTAACAACTTCTCGTGGTAGAAAGGACTGGCATGAGGTTTTTGCCTCAGGCTTCATGGGAACCATCTCAGAGAATGTGTGTGCAACTGAACACTGGAGCCCGGGTCTTTGGGCTCCTGATCGGTCCTCTTCACTTGGGTATGTCGACCTGTGTGCCTTTAGGAGAGCCACCCTATGGTTGGGAACAGGCCTGTTCCCAACAGCTGCTGGGAATGTAATGTAATTCACTGGTACAGCACTTACTTAGCATGCACAAGGCCTGGGTTCAATATCCAACACCAAAAAAAATTATAAGTAAAACTAGCAGGCTGGCATGGTGACACATTCCTGTAATACCAGAACTTGGGAGGTTGAGGCAGGAAAATCTCAAGTTCAAGGCTAGCTTGGGCTACTGTACAGGGAAAAAAAGTTAAACTAGCAAACTATAAATACATTCTGATCTCCTTCTTTGACAAATACAGCTTCAGATCCACCTGGAAGACAGGTTCAAATTTAGCCCTGGCTGCTCCCCTAGCAGTGTAAGAGTCGTGAGTGTACACGTGAATGCCCAATCTCACCATGAAAATCCAGCCGTACCCATGCAAGGGGCCACGCTTAGCCACCCTATGCGGTAGTGGCACAATTCAGACTTAGGGGGGCAAATCCTGGGAGGCCCCTGGAAGAGGGCTCAGGGCCATCTGGTCTGGGAGCACTGAGGTTCAAGGTCTAAAAAGGATGCTGTGGGGTGGCACATTCTTGTGTCCCTACAGATGCTTATGCATTATTAAGGGGCCTGGCCAGAAAGGCCACATATACATAATTGCTTATGTTCTTTAACAGGTAAGATAAGGGGGAAAAGGTGAATAAAATTAATAATGTGGGGAAGGGAGAGGTTGGGTCAGTGGAAAGGACATGGACAAGGGTCCCCTAACATAAGCTGTTTTGCAGCTTTGACAGAGTTTACACAGTGGGCAAAATTTATATAGTTTCTAATTATTTTACAGAATACTACATAAAATTTAAAATTAAATGGATTAAAATAGAAAACAAAATGAAACAAATCTAACTATGGGTCATGTTGGTGGCTCATCCACCAAATAGGGAATATTTCAGGTAGTTTGAAACACAGTAATTTGGCTGTAACTGCCTACTGGAATGGTACCTCGAGCTAAAAGAATTACAGAGAAGAACTCTTACTAGTGAGTACTCATGTTGATAATGAGGGCAGAGGGGCTGCTTGTTTGTTTTTTGGGGGGTTGTCTTTTTTCTTTTTTGGTGCTGGGATTGAACCCAGGGCCTCACACATGCCAGGCAAGCGCTGTACCTCCGAGCTACATCCCAGCCCTTGTTTTTTGTTTTTGGCTGTCCTGGGTCTTGTGCTTGCTAGACAGGTGCTCTACCACTTGAGCCATGCCACCAGTCCTCACTAGTGCTTTTGATGTTGTTATTTTGGAAGATGGAGAGCTAGATATCAATATTGTTAGGAATTAAGACAGGTAACATTAAAGAAGCAAACCCCTGAGTCTCGAGCTTGAATTAGATCAAAGAACAGAGGAGCATGTACATTGCACCAGGGAAGTGCACCCAGTTTGTCTGGAATGAAGGGAAATAGACGCAAGAGAAAAGTAGTTTAGAGGACAACTTGGTCCGGAAGAGATGGTCCCAGTTTCCACCTTTTCCCCAAATGTTTGCTTCTTGCCTGAGGAGAGGGGTCTCAAGACCACCGAGCCCTCCTCCTGCCTGACTATGTACACACACCATGCTGAAGTGGGAGACAGGCCTGTGAGTCTTTATGGCTATTTGGAAATACCTGCCTCTTGTAGATACAGTTTCTTGACATTCGAATGAGAACTGCCCTGCACAAAGTGGATATCAGAGTTAATACCATGAGAGCCAAGTGTGGTGGCACATAACTGTAATCCCAGCTATTTGGGAGGTGGAAGCAGAAGGATCATGAATTTGGGCCAGCCTGGAAAAAGGCAGAGAGACTATCTCAAGAAACAAAATAAAGCTGGGTGTGGTAACACACACTTATAATCCCAGTACTTGGCCAACAGAGGTAGGAGGATTTCGGTGGTGGGATGGGCCTAGACAAAACCATGAGACCCTATCTGAAATACAAACAAAAGAAAAAAGGGCTAGAGGCATGGCTGAAGTGGTAGAGCATGAGGCCCTGAGTTCACACCACCAAAAAATTAAATTAAAGGACTGGGGCATAGTTTAAGTGACAGTGTGCTTGCCTAGCATGCACAAGGCCCTGGTTTCAATTCCTAGTACTGGAAAAAAAAAAATTTAAATGAGAATAGCTTTATGAAAGATCATAAAATAGTGTATAATGTCTGCATTTTCCCATGGCTTGAGTGCATCCTTAAAAAACTTAATGTAATTTTTAAAAAAGCATTTTAGGAAATTATATGCTAATAACTTGTGTGATTTTTAAATTTTTTTTGCAGCACTAGGAATTGAACCCAGGACCTCATTCACACATGCCAGGCATGCATTGTACCACTGAGGGACTTCCCCAGCCCCTAAGGTGGATATTTATATAAAGCATTTTTGTGTGAGTAATATATGTTATAAAAAATAGGGAAAAGAAAGTTGAGGTCAACCAGAATAAAGAGAGCTGAATGAATCAAAGTACTTAAAACCAGCTTTGTTAGATTCAGTAGTTAGTAACAAGAAAGTTGATAAATAATTATTGGGAAGCACTGGTCTTTTACCTGCTTTGGGTACACTCATTATTTTGGTACCCAGAGCCTCACACATGCTAGGCAAGCACTCTATCACTTGAGCCTACACCTCCAGACTTTTTCATCTTTTTTTTTTTTTTTTTTTGAGACAGGGTTTTGCACTAACCTTGCCTGGGCTAGCCTGAAACAGTCAATTCTCCTGCCTCCTCCCAAGTAGCTGGGATTACAGGTGTATACTACCATACCCAGCTCACACTCATTTAGTATGTTCATCTCCTCACAATATTCATCATTTATCAAGTGCCTATTCTATGCCAGGGAACTGTTAAGCATGTGCAATTCATGAGGCCCATTGGACCTCATATTGTCACCATAACTGAGGAAACAGATTTTCAAGTGTGGAGTGAACACTGCACAATAGGTATCACACAGCCAAATGAAGACTTGAACCCAGCTCTCCACCACCACACTGGACCAATGGCCCCTCCCACATTCAAGATAAACAATCAGGAAGATGAAGAAGATTTTCAGAATTTTAAGTTTGCCCCCATAGGTTTTTCTTAAAAACTTAGGTGTGTTTTGCCTCTAGTTCTCTAACAAGAGAGGAGCAACTTAACACTGATGGAAGATCCCAGAAGATTTCCTTGTCTTAATTAAACAGACTATCTGACACTATCATATCGTGTGTTACAAACTTAACACACTAATCATGTGTTGTGCCCATTTTACCAGTAAGTTGTTCCTGGTTTGCTTGGCACAGTTAATATATGCAGATTTCATGGGTGACTCTCAGGTATTCTTCAAGTCACTAATCAAGTTGGGAATTCCAGGTACAGAGGAAGGGAGAGAAACAGAGGCCTCGTTTGTAAAACAGAACTTAAGTGTGCTCAAAGAACGGGTAGGATTTGGGTGGAGCAGAGTGTGATGGGATTAGCAGTAAACAATGCAGAGAGGTGAGAAGAAACTTGAGTTACCGAGGCAGCAAGGAGGCCTGTGAGACACAGAGGGAGCTGGGAAGTGATGGAGGCAATTGACTTAAAATATATTGACTTGGGAGGCTGAGACCAGGAGGATCACCATTCACTGCCAGCCTGGGAAAATAGTTCAAGAGACCCCATCTCCATAATAACCAGAGCAAAATGGACTGGAGGTGTGGCTCAAGCTGTAGAACCTGCTTTGCAAGTGTGAAGCCCTGAGTTCAAACCCTGGTCCAACAACAACAAAAAAAGACCCTAAAAATGTATTATTCAAGCTCAGATCCCATGTCAAGCTGGGAAAACTTTCCTAAGATGTCAAAGAGAATTGCTTTTGTTGAATATCTGAATTTTTGACAGAATCATTTTGTCTGATGTAACGTGGCAGATTTAGTACATTGCATGTGTAATTATATTCTGAGATCAATGGAAACATTGTTTTTCATCTAGAACTATTCCCTGGGCTTTTGAGAAAATAAAGAAAGCAAGTGAGTGGGTCAGAAGAACAGAAGGACAGTATCCATCCATCTGCCAACGGCTTGAGCTGGGGAAAGACTGGGACTCTGCCACGAAGCAGCTCCTGGGAATCCATCCTCTCTCCACTGCCTCACCTCTGGGCCGGGTCCTGTGTTACAGCCAAGGCTGAACCCAATGAAACTGTAGTTTACACTTTTCTCACACTTGTATGTCAAAAATAGTCAAACAGCAATAGATACCTTTTACTAGTAAAAAGTGTACATTTGATTAGTATCTAAAGTTAGTACCTAAAAATAGCACCAGATATATGTCTTAAATAAGATGCAGAAATCTTCTGAGATTAATGTTAATTAGTTCTTCACTTGTTTTGGCATCTGCTAGAACTTGTTAGTGAACAAAAGACAATATACAGGAAAGTTTTAAAACAAATTCTGCTATTTAATTATGGTTTTATTCAGTGTAGCAACTTTAAAATGGAAGCACAACTGATTTTAATCAACTAGCAAGCAATAATAAACCAAAAATGACAATATTAGAGTTTTTGTGTTTCAGTGTTTTAAGGTGATGGTTGGCGGGGGGCAGGGCTCACAGTTACACACACACTCAGGAGTCTAACTGGGAAGAAACCATGTTTGTGGCTGGCGGTTATGTTCAAGGCCTGTGCCTCTTTACAGGGCCCTGGGTACCTGGACTGTGGCTTGGTGTGCATGCTTCCTGTGTGGCTTCTTCATCTGCAGATCCTCCACAGGCTATTTGTCACTTAGAGAAACTTGGTTTCCCAAGTCATTTTTCCACAGATCTTGTTCTTGGTGTTAACATGCTAAAAAACTTACTGCCAAATCCAAGATTATTTAGGTTTTCTGCTATTTTATCCTCTACAAGTTCTCTAGTCTTGCATTTTACATTTAGGTCTGTGATCCATTTAATTACATTGTGTGAGTGGCAGAAGGACATTTTCCACCTTCGTTATGGCTTGACCTTGAAAAGTAAGAGGTGCAGCCTGTTAGAAGAAGCAGGTCACTGGGGGTGTGCCTTGGAAGGATGTGTGCTGTCCCCTGCCCTTTAACCTCTGCCAGTCTCTGCCTCCTGCCCACCACAAGGTGGGCCAATTTGTTTACCACGTGCTCCCACCATGATGCTCTGCCTCACCACAGGCCCAGAAACAATGAAGCCAGGGGCCATGGACTAAAACCATGAGCCATCCTCCCTCCTTTTAAATTATTTCTCTTAGGTATTTGTCACAGCAGCAGAAAACTAACACAATCTTTTTCCAGCCTGGGCCATTCCCCCCCTCCCTGTGTGTAAGACAGAGATTCTGGTCTTTTAGCTACACAAACCCCCATCTGGTCTCACTGCTGTTATTCACCAAATTCCCAGAACATCCTCTCATTCATGTGGAAAGGATTTTCCTTTCACTTCAAGTCCCACCTTCATCTTCAGTGTCATCTAACTCAATAGGTCCACCCTTTGGTAGGAATCAAATCAAACAGACACCAAGAACAGGTGTCACTCAGAACAAAATTATTTGGAGTAAATAAGGAGACCACGGAAATCAGTTCTGAAGACCACAAGAGTCCGGGCCTAGGGCCGAAAAACTAGGGCAAGCTGCAGTTTCTGTGGCAGGGAATGAGTGCTCGGGAGCGAAAGGTGACAACAGGCACCTCACTTGTCATCTTCTGGAAGGGAGGCTTTAGCTCTTTCCTAAGTAGAGCTTTTGGTATCATAATAAAGTTCGCCCCTGGATCACTGGCACATGTTCCTTAGGGTGGCTTGTGGAACATTATTTCTGAGAAATGACTTTCAGGAGATTTGTCAGGAAAACAACTTGATTTGGGGCTCCAGGTGCTGAGTGGGAGACATCTACACACTGCTTTCCCAGGATGGCCCTCTGCTAGCAGGCCTGATGCCCTAGGCCATCTGTAGTAACCTTTAAAGCTCCGTGGTAGTGACCTAAACATGAGCACTGACCTTAAAAAGGAGTGAAGAAGGGGGGAAAAAAGTGCAGAGGTTTTGCCTATATTTGAAAAACTCTTTTAATAGATAAAATCCCTGACTTGAGGTGTGGTTGAAGCGGTAAAGTGCCTGCTTTGCATTGCATGAGTGAATCCTTGAGTTCAAATCCCAGTCCTACAAAAAAAGACCTGTTACTCTAACCCTTGATTCAAAAAAACCTCATCAAAAGATGAGTAAGAGAATTCTTTCTGAGGCTTATGAAGAAATAAATCCAATGAAGGCGGCCTCCGTATGTTAGATGATCCATAAAGAAGAAAACAAGAGAAAACTACTTCAAGGGCTGGTAGAGCACTTGCACAAGGCCTTGGGTTCAATCCCCAGCACTGAAGGAAAAAAAGGGAAAGAGGAAGGGGGTGGGGGGATGGGGAGAGGTATAGAGGGAGGGAAGGAAACCCGCTCCTCATTGGTAGGTAGGGTGGAGGTACTGCAACCTTAGTTGCAGCACTGGCCTGCCTCAATGGCTTAGTTGTAGACAGATGGCCCAGTCGGAAAGGATGCCAGCTGTAAAGTGGTTGTGTACACTAATGTGAACCTGCCAGATAGTTACCTTACATTGCCAGAACAGTATGAAAGGCCTCTGTTCTGGAGAGATACTCCTGTGGCTGGTGTTTGAGAAAGAGACTGCTAATTGTACTACACAACTTACAGGGTTTGACTCCGCTGACCATCCAGCTACAGGTCAACAACGCACTGTGACATCAAGTGTTCCCTCCCCCACACCAAGCAAGCCATGCTACAGCAATGGCTGTCTACTGGGCGTCCCCTAGAGCAGTTCAGTTATGACATTACCTACCTGGAGGTAGGTAAGGTCACAGTGACAGGCTGAGGGCTCCAAGACTGCCCCACTGTAGATGGCAGTCACAAACCCCAGTTGTTTTACCTGAGCTTCTGACCACCTGGCTCTAAATCAGGGTTGCCCCAGCCAGCTTCTTGAGTTTGACTAATTTGCTACAGCAGCTCACAGAATTCAGGGCAATACTTTACTTGTATTCACCCATTTATCATAAAGGATGTTAGAAAGAATACAGAGGATGAGACACAGAGAGCGAGGGGCACAGAACTTCCACACCCCTCTGGGGTGCCACCCTTCTAGGAGGGCCACAGTTCAGCTATCCAGAAGCTCTCCAAACCCTGTCCTTCAGGCGTTATTTATTTTTGGTGGTACTGGAGTTTGAACTTAGGGCCTCATGCTTGCAAGGCAGGCACTCTACCACTTGAGCGGTACTGCCAGCCCTCCATGGAGCTTTTTATGGAAGCTTCATTGCATATACATCACTGATTCCACCGCTAGTCAATGGTGACCAATTCAACCTCAGTTACTGTCTTCTCCCAACCCTTCCTTCCTACCCTGTTCTCTCCAATGATCAATGCCAGTCTTGATGCCACCTAGGGACTGCCAGCCATCAGTCAACTCCTTAACATACAAAATGGCACAGACCACTTTGCAGAGTCCAGGGATTTTAGCAGTGGTGTCAGGAAATAGGACAAAGATCAAATATATATTTCACAATATCATGAATACATCTCCTATCTACAATATTACTTTCTAACCAATGGGATGTGAGCAAAATTGATCCTGGCAACTTTCAGGTCAGATCCTTAAGAAAGGAAATTGCTTGCTGTGGAGCACACCTGTAATCCCAGCTACTTGAAAGACAGAGGTTAGTAGACCGTCTTCTGAGGCCAGTTAGCCTTATCTGATAAGTTAGCACAGTATCTGAAAAACAAAAAAACTAGGAGTGTGGCTCAGGTGATAGAGTACTTGCCCATCAGGCAGAAGCCCTGAGTTCAAGAAAGAAACAGAGAGAGGTAGAGAAGAAGAGAGGGAGGGAGGGAGGGAGGGAGAAAAGTCAACTCATGCTTGTTTACCATATCCAACCCTTTCTTCTACTCAGGGGCCGAGGTCAGCTTCCTTTCTGCAGGTGAGGGCACACGCTGGGGGCTGGAGGGCCACAAGAGAGAAGGAACCTCTATTCTTGTGTGGAACAGAACAAAGACACCTGCTCATGCTAAAACTACCTGCCCACTTCTAAGCTGCTCAGTGAGAAAGAACCGCACTTTATCTTGTTTGAACTATTGATATTTGGATTATTTTTCTGACAAGAGCTTAGCCAGTTTTGTAAATAACCAGCCTTATCCGACACCCTACTGCTACCAAAGCTCCTTGTCTATGCCTCCCCAGGACAAGAATTCAAACCCCAGTACTGCCAAAAAAAATTTTTTTTAATGGAAGTTGCTTGACACTTTTCTGGCATTTATAATCTCCTACTCCCCCTTGTGTCTGTCTGTGGTATCACAGGCTGTCACTATTTAAAAACCTATGGCACACACCTTTGTTCTCCAAGTCAGGGAAGACTGGAACATACCCCTCAGGAAGATTCCCCCCAAAGCCTTCTTTCATCCCTTCCCAAGAAAAAGACGAGCTGGGAAATTTTGATCATACCACAGTGTGCTAGGATAGGCTATGTTAACAATTACAATGCGTGTCCAGCCTCTAATCCAGTGCCTCTGAACTCTCTTCTTAACTAGGGCTTGACTTTGGACTTCTGTGTTCGCCTTTGCATCACAAAACTTTATTTCACAGTTTTGGTAAGACTCTTGATAAATTATTTTAGCAAGAATCCTCCATTCCTGATATCATCCTCAGTATCTGATCACATTCTTCATCCTCCACCATCATTCAGGGGACATCTGACCACCCTGACCTACCTTCAACAAGAATCATGCCAAATAATTTTTACTAGAATCCTCTCTTTTTTTAGCCCAAGCTGGCCTTGAACTTGTGGTCCTCCTGCTTCACCTTCCCCAGTGCTGAGATTATAAGTGTGGTCCATCATTCCTGGCTTCTCTCTAACTCTTGAGGTCTGCTCTTGTTAACTTTCCATCCTCTGCTCCCCTCCCCTTCCTTGGCCATAAGTCCCCACTTGTCCTTGTTTAACAAGGACAATTGTCATGCTATTCTTCAAGGGTAGGTGAGATGCCAGTTTCCCACCTGTTCCCATGCCTCTCTTCTTGGCTTTGTGTACCTCTGGATGATTCCACCTTTAACTTATTTCTAGGGTTCTCGGAAAGGCAATTTTGTCCAAATACTGTTGCTAAGTTGGTGTCTCCTAGGGGGAACAAGATCTTGGGGTGGCTTCTTCTGCCATCTTGCTTACATCAATCCTCACTACATGGCAAGCACAAGGCCCTGAGTTCAAACCCTGGTAAAGCAATAAAAGGGGAGGCTGGGGAGTAGAGTGCTTACGTAGCATGTGTGAGGTCCTGGGTTCAATTCCCAGTACTGAAACAACAACAACAACAACAAAAAAAAACAAGGAAAAAGTCAAACAGCACTACATTGCTAAAACTGAGGCAAATTAGAGAAAATGGGACATGGAATCAAAAGCCAGAGACTAAGCAAAGTGCTGCATTAATGAATGAGCTGACTAGAAGCACACACAACTTTCTCCTGGGTCTACACTCCCCCACTGAGCTGCAGC